GACACCACTAACAACACTGAACCTTGGGGGACACCACTAACGAGCATTTATTAGTGCATATCCAAGCACCACCAAACAACACAAATAAAAACATGAATGATCACTGGCTGTGAGTCCATTTCGTTCTGGGTAGTGGTTATAGACCCGGGTCATTTCGGTACCTTGAGATCGAGACCCTTAAGATGGTTCCTCTTGGATATCAACAACGCCTACTCCAGATAAATGGAGATTCGGCACAGGCTAGTTACATCTATTTATTGGTTCGCATGATCTGCCGTATGTCACTTCTTTTAGTTCAGACTGGCCTGTGTTTGGTGTAAGATATTGTGTTGTAGAGTCCATAGATGCCTCGGCCGCGAGGTTATGTATGGAGAACGCTCCGCGATATCTCCTAGGAAGTCCAAAGAGGCAGGCACTTTCTTATCAATTGGCGACGCGTTAAGAGGACGGTAGGAAGGTTCGGCGAGTATTGTGGGTCCGGATTTTTTTAGAACATGGTGTCCGGTTCGGTTTGGGTCATCCGCTGATTTCCATGCGCAGCTTCTACGCGTTTCGCCCCCTCCCCCGGGGGCTTCGTCAGGACGTGCAGGCTCCCAGGTGTAGGATGTATTTAACCTAGATTCTCACCTGTCGGCCCTCATATAATCAGACCTAACTTTTGTTGGTTGGTCCGAAATTTCTTGGATTCCGAAAAGGCCTTAAGTCCGTATACTGTATGAACGAGGCATTTTTAAGTTGAATTCCTAAACCAAATAAAGACCCGGGAGAACTAGCTAACTATAGGCCGCTATCATTGATCAACGATTACCTTAAGTTGCTTACAAAAAGTGTTAGCCAATAGAATTAATTCCTTCCTGCCCAGTTATATTAAAAGGAGAACTATGAGGGGGGAGGGGCTTTTCACTCACCTCATAGTTCTAGCCGACCTGTGACAATGAGACTGTCGCAGGTCGGCTCAGTAGATCGGGAACACATACCGGCGTTCGCTCACCTCTCGATCCCGTCACGGGGAGGGGCTGGATTCCCCGCTCCGATCCTCCAGCGCTGACTGTCGGAACGGACGTGGGAGGGGGCGGGTACAGCTGGCTCTGCCTCTAGATAGCTGTCACTCACGCAGCTGGGCGGATCCCGACGTTCAAGTCGGGAACCCGCTCCGGCTGCGGCGGTCTCAGTATACCGCGAGCTGTAGCTCCCTATATACTGAGCTTAGGGTGACGGGAGGGCGCTAGTTTGTGTCCTCACGTTACCCTAAGGAGAACTATGGGGTAAAAAACCACTGACCCCGTAGTTCTCCTTTAATGTTTCATTGATGGAGGGCACCTGGCGCCCTCCAGACTTGCTCGTATGTACCCGGGAACGTCTCCCCTATGTTTCCGGGGGTGCGAGCTGGGGGGCACCATGTATCATGTGTGGTGGTATGCATTCTGGGGAAGGGTCTATAATCTAATTTTCCCGGGGTGAGGGGAATACGTGTTCCGAGAGACCCCCCGGGTAGGCCCTTCTCAATGATATAGTGCCGGGGAACCTCGAGGTATAGTACACACCATTGATAACATTCGTGTTCCTGGCAGCTAAAATCACGATAGCTAAAGCGTGGAAAAGGTCAAAGGGCATCCCTGAGGCAAGTAAAGACTAAGCTGTCATGGATCATGATCCAGGAAAAACTGGCGAGTGTATTACTGGATAAAAGCGTGCGGTTTGAGCGTACATGGGATCCCTGGCTAGATTACACAAACTCTACCATAATGTGAGAGAGACGGAGTGACTCTGGGCCCCGGCCCTCCCCGGCCAAAAATAACTTATTTTTGTTTTTTGTTTGTCATGTTACGTATTGTCAGGACAACGCAGGGACAGGAAGTGATGTGAAGAATAGACAGGAAGTGCTATAGACGGACAGGAAGTGCTGTAACATACAAACAGGAAGTTCCCTAGTTCTGCCTTTATCCCTTTGTTTGACTGCAGCTATTCTCCACCTTCTGCATATTGGCAGAGGGAATTAGGTTGACAGTTCATGTTAAAGACGTGTTTTTGTTGCAATTAGAAGGAGAGCTAGAAAAATTATGGCTGCCTCGGTATACTACGGCTAGTTCGTGGGTAACTCCACATGCTATGTTAAATGAGAACTACGAGGTCAGGCCTTTTTCCCCCGTAGTTCTCCTCAGGGTAACGGGAGGACACAAACTAGCGTCCTCCCGTCACCCTAGGCTCAGTATATAGGGAGCTGCAGCTCGCGGTATACTGAGACGCCGGAGCGGATCCCGACATCGATGTCTGGATCCGCCCAGCTGCGTGAGCGACAGCTATCTAGAGGCTGTACCCGCCCCCTCCCCCGTCCGTTCCGCCAGTCAGCGCTGGCGGATCGGAGCGGGGAGGGGTGGAATCCAGTCCCTCCCTGTCCCGGCAAAGCTCCGTGACAGGATCGAGAGGTGAGCGAACGCCGGTATGTGTTCTCTCACCTCCCGATCTACTGAGCCGACCTGTGACAGTCTCATTGTCACAGGTCGCCTAGAACTATGAGGTGAGTGAAAAGCCCCTCCCCCCTCGTAGTTCTCCTTTAAGTATAAGAAAGTGGTGGGGGTGAGAGAGTAATGTTATTTTTGTTTTGTATGTACGTTGTCAAACTACATGGTGATATGTTTAAGTGTTTTGTTATGTCTTGGTGAAAATAATAAAAACTTTTGAAAGACAAAAAGTCAGATTTTATCATCACGCGTGCGCAAATAGTAAGAAATTCTCTCCGGACAGGAAGTCGTTAAATTATCTTCTTCAGAGACAAGAAGGCCGAAGAAGCCCCAAGAAACCGCTGCGGAAATATCGAAGAACAACGTCAACTGCAGAGTTTACATTCTCTTCAGGGATGCGATGTTACATATTGTAAGGGCAACGCAGAGACAGGAAGTGATGTGAAGAATAGACAGGAAGTGCTATAGACGGACAGGAAGTGCTGTAACATACAAACAGGAAGTTCCGGGAGAAAGGTGTAGGGAGGAGGCATTGCTGGAAGGTATGAAGATATCATTTTTATATCTGTACAGTGCGTGTGGATATAAATACTTCCTTGTAGCTGTCTCGGGGGGTTGTCGGCTCTCCTCTATAGCGGGACACCAGGTCTTCTCTGGTCTTCTTATAGTTTTATAGATAAATAAGACCGGTCACATGGTCTAAGAAGCCACCTGAGATGTCAGAACAATGGAGGAACTCCGTGTAGACATCATTCATCCCGGTACAGTCCTCATAATTCTCAGTTTATTATTTCTCTACAGGGAGGAGTGGCCAGAATAGATCACATGACCACCTCGATGCAGATGGACAAGGACCGGAGTCGCATGACTGGGAAGATATTGGCCCTCACCCTGGAGATCATCTACCTGCTGACCGGAGAGGTGAGGAGGATTCTGGGAGGTCACATGACATCACTCTGATCTCTATTCATAACACACAGACCTGACCGGAGGGGTGAGGAGGATTCTGGGGAGTCTGTGCTGATAGTTGCTCCTTTCTCTCTTTACTCAGGATTATAAAGTAGTAAAGAAAATGTCTGGTGAGCCGATAACAAACACTAGATGTCTACTGAGGACATCACCCATCACAGAGCCTCCACCTCACCAAGTGACAACAGAGGTAAAGAGTCACAAGAATGTTCTAGAAGTCACCAAGAAGATGATGGAGCTGCTGACGGGAGAGGTGAGCGGTGCCGGGAATTCTGGGACATGGTCCAGGAAATTGAAGGCCAGTGGCTCAAAAAGTATGAGACGACATTCTTCTCCATAATCTCTTCTCACTTGTATTCTATAATTTTTGGGGTTTAGGGTGAAAAGAAGAAAGAAATTAAAGAGGAAGAAGAGACGTTGGTGGGAGGAGCTCAGCAGTCTATAGAGGAGGGGGAGATGATTATGGAGAGTAAACAGGAGGAATCTTCTCTACATACGGACACAAGTAAGTAATGAAGATTAAATGCAGAACCAGGTCACATTTTCTACAATCAGTATGAAGTGCTTCTCTACAAAAAAAACAAAAGGTCCATCTCCATTCCTCAATATAACGTCATAGTGCCATAGTTACATAGTTACATAGTATTTGAGGTTGAATAAAGACATTAGTCCATCAAGTCCAACCTATTAGGATCTCATTCTAGGAGTACCTGTACCCCCTGTATGTTACCTGTACCCCTGTATATTACCTGTACCCCATTCTTTAGGTCATGGAGATCACACAATAGAGAGTTCATTGTCCTGTTCTTTATGCGGGAAATCTTTCACTGGGAAAAGATACCTTCTTAGACACCAGAGAAGTCACGAGAGTGAGTGTCCTCTCTCGTGCTCAGAGTGTGGAAAGAGTTTCACTGAAAAAAAAAACCTTATTAGACACCAGCAACGTCACACAGGCGAGCGTCTTTTCTCATGTTCAGAGTGTGGGAAATCTTTCACTCAGAAAGCAGATCTTCAAAGACATGAGAGATACCACAAGGGTGAGCGTCCTTTTTCATGTTCAGAGTGTGGGAAATGTTTTAGTGAAAAAACAGGTCTTGACAGACACGAGAGAAGTCACACAGGTGAGCGTCCCTATTCATGTTCAGTGTGTGGGAAGTGTTTCGCTTTGAAATCAAACCTTCAGAGACACCAGAGATATCACACGGGTGAGCGTCCTTTCTCATGTTCAGAGTGCGGAAAATCCTTCACTCAAAAAGCAAGTCTTCATAGACATGAGAGAAGCCACACAGGTGAACGTCCCTATTCATGTTCAACGTGTGGAAAGAGTTTTGCCGATAAAGTAAATGTTCTTCTACATGAGAAGAAGCACATGGGTGAGCGCCCCTATTCATGTTTGGTGTGTGGGAAAAGTTTTGCTGATAAAGGAAACCTTCTTTTACACCAGAAAATTCACACGGGTGAACGTCGGTATTCATGTTCAGAGTGTGGGAAAAGGTTCAATCACAAAGGAGCCCTTTTTGAACACCAGAGAGTACATACGGGAGAGCGTCCTTTCTCGTGTTCAGAATGTGGCAAATGCTTTAGTCAAAAAGGAAACCTCACTAAACACAACAGAATTCACACGGGTGAGCGTCCTTATTCATGTTCAGAGTGCGGAAAGTCTTTTTCTGAGAAATCAGATCTTCTTAATCACCAAAGAATTCACACGGGTGAGCGTCCTTTTTCATGCTCAGTGTGTGGGAAATGCTTCATTCTGAAAAAGACACTTCTAAAACATCAGAGAACTCACACCTCGTGAGCGTCCCTATTCATGTTAAACCTGTGGGAAATGTTTCAGCCGCAAAGTAAACCTTGTTGTGCACCAGAGAAGTCACACGGCTGAGAGTCCTTTTTCATGTACTGAGTGTGGGAAAAGTTTTGTTCACAAAGGAGGCCTTCTTGCGCACCATAGAAGTCACACTGTTGAACGTTCTTATACATGCTCAGTGTGAAGTAAATGTTTCTTCGAGAAAGCAGAACTGTTAATACATCAGAAAAGTCATGCAGATGAATGAGCTTCATTCTCACTCCGTGTGCGGGAAAAGTTAAATTAAAAAAAGACAACTTGTGCCACCGTTAGTAAATTCACAATTAGGAGAATGCGTTATCACACTCAGAGTGTGGAAAATGCTTTAGATATAAAGGAATTTAATACCACATCATCAGTGAACACTCATCTGCTGAAACTGTTGGGACATGTACGGGGGGATGTAACAGGCGGAAGTGTAGAAGATATGTATGACAACAATGGCTTTCTAAAGGGTCCATCCTGGTAAAAGTTACATGTCAGTCCTCAGTGGAGGCCGTTGGGTTGAATCTCTTTTAGAGGCTCCAGTGGTGAGATCTTCTCCAGTTCCCGGCTCTCTTATCCCCCACATTGGGGTGTCCTCATTCCCCATTTTTACATTCTCCACAATATGAAATAAAAATCCAACATGGAGAGTAGGAGCTCCTCGTAATGGGCTCAGTGGGTCTGTGTATGACCCGGGAACTCAAGAGAGAAGAATACCTGGGAATGTCTGGAACCCAACATGCTTCGGGGGGAGGGGAGGTAGGTGGACATATTACCAGTATGCGGAGATATGGAAAGTTTCATTGAGATTCAAGCGTCATCGTATTGTGTTCATCATTCCATCTGATTTTCTACAATAAAAGTTCTAAACTTCACAATATTCTGTTCTGATTCCCGGCTTTTCCTACAAATGTCCCCAATTCTTAGATGATTCATAGAGAGTCCTCCATTGGTGATGGGAATGAGCTCAGATCATAGAGTCATCCATTGGTGATGGGATGAGCTCGGTTCATAGAGAGTCCTCCATTGGTGATGGGAATGAGCTCAGATCATAGAGAGTCCTCCAATGGTGATGGGAATGAGCTCGGGTCATAGAGAGTCCTCCATTGGTGATGGGAATGAGCTCGGGTCATAGAGAGTCATCCATTGGTGATGGGAATGAGCTCAGTTCATAGAGAGTCCTCCATTGGTGATGGGAATGAGCTCGGTTCATAGACAGTCATCCATTGGTGATGGGAATGAGCTCAGATCATAGAGAGTCCTCCATTGGTGATGGGAATGAGCTCAGATCATAGAGAGTCCTCCAATGGTGATGGGAATGAGCTCGGGTCATAGAGAGTCATCCATTGGTGATGGGAATGAGCTCAGTTCATAGAGAGTGTGGGGGTATAGCTCGAATGGGGGATCACCTTCCCTGGGAAAAACAGTCCAGGCAGCAAAGTTCTTTTTCTCTCTGAACACATCCAACATGTAGCTCTCTCAGAAGGCTGTCTGAGTCCCAGGCCAGAGCAAAACCATGTCTCAGCCTTTCCCCTTTTATCTCACCTGGACAAGCATTCATCAAGCAATCAACTATCCAGGTGAGACCCAAAGCCCGAGCTGGACTATCCGGACCCAAAGTCAAAGCGAAACCCTGGTCAGGGTTCCGCTATTCATGCACATAGGATAGAAAGCGAGGGGAAACATACCGCCCCTCAATGATGTCCCCTCTCCTTATGTCACAAGAGTCATCCATTGGTGATGGGAATGAGCTCAGTTCATAGAGTCCTCCATTGGTGATGGGAATTAGCTCGGTTCATAGAGAGTCCTCCATTGGTGATGGGAATGAGCTCAGTTCATAGAGAGTCCTCCATTGGTGTTGTATTGGTGAGGAGGAGAGTCCAGAAGATCCAGTTCCACAAGTGTCAGCTGACATGCTAAGGACACATGGAGCCACTACAAATGTCACATAGAATATTCCCATCGCCACCACCTTGGCTATCCTGCTCATGGTCACAGTGATGGGCTCCATCATTTCATATTCATGATCAGGGGCTTACAGAGTATATCCGTATCATGTGATCAGTCCCATCCTTGTCCCAGTGATTGCTCTGGTCAGTAGTACGGGGATTAGAACGATGATATTTGGAGGTTTCACAGATAACGGAATCCTTCTCCCCATACACCACCCTTCTGCTGATGGACATTGGGCTCTTCCGTATTCCTGTTGCCTTTCAGTAGAACTCTATACTCATGCAAAGTTCCCATGAGGCACACGCTTGATCTGGGTCAAGTTCTGTTCTGCTGCCTCTGGGTGTTGTCTAGTAGCAACGGTTTCCTTACTGTTCCAGTTGCCTCTGTGGTGGGTATGCAGGTGAAGAGGGATGTGACAACATAGGATGCCGGTGAAGAGGGATGTGGCAACATTGGATGCCGGTGAAGAGGGATGTGACAACGTAGGATGCCGGTGAAGAGGGATGTGACAACGTAGGATGCCGGTGAAGAGGGATGTGACAACGTAGGATGCCGGTGAAGAGGGATGTGACAACGTAGGATGCCGGTGAAGAGGGATGTGACAACGTAGGATGCCGGTGAAGAGGGATGTGACAACGTAGGATGCCGG